TTTCTTATTTTCTTTCTTTCTTTTTTTCTTTCTTTTTTTCCTTTCTTTCTCTCTTTCTTTATTTCTCTCTTTCTTTCTTCCTTCCTTCCTTTCTTTCTTCCTTCCCTCCTTTCTTTCTTCCCTTTCCTACATTGTTTCTTTCTTCCTTCCTTTCTTGTTCTTTCTTTCTTTTGGTTTTTGCTTGATAACTCTTGACACGATAATCTGTGAATTTTTCTTTTTTGTTTTCACTGGTCAATATTTGCAGGCTTCATGACACCTCAGATTTGCCGTGGCGGCATTTCTTTGTCACTATTTCAGATCAGCTGGATTATATAATCATTGCTTAAGCAATCATAATTTATTTGACTTTATCCTTGTAATACAGAAGCCACCACAGAAACCTCAGAAAATCTTAATTAGGAAACCAGTGAAGGGGCTGCCATATGATGTAAACTCTCTATCAGATGGAGATCTTGCAAGGCAGCTAAGAAGCTATGGTCAAGTTGTTGGACCCATTACTGAAACAACAAGGCCTCTGTACCAAAAAAAATTAAGTGAGTTTGAAAAGTCCCTTTCACAGTTCCCTGTGCCATCTTGAAAGGTAGCAGTGCCTTTGCATCGAAGCGAAAGGAACGGTCAAAGCTTGCAATGATAGAGAGCTTTTTTTACACCCTTGGACAATTTTCTTATTATTCACATGTCTCTATCATTGCAAGCTCACCATTCGTCTCGCTTCTATGCAAAGGCACGGCTATCTTTCAAGATGGTGCAGGGAACTGTGAAGGGGACTATTTGATTGTCCATTGTACATTCATTGTATATTCCCATCTTTTCCTTCCACAAAAGCCAACTTGTACTTTTTTACTCACTAGCTTGGCTCTGATTGGCCAAAATATTCTAAACAGTATCTATATAATTATTCAGATTAATTGTCAAATGAAGAATACTGCTGTTCTAACCACCAATGTTAGCCCTTGGCTTTGGCAGAAAACACAGTTTTAGTCCTAGTAATTTGTTTTATGCTACTGAACCTCATCCAATAATTGCTTATTAATGGTTGTTCATAGCCTTCTCCACAGACATCTCTTTGCCTCTTTTTTGCTCCTTGGACTTCCTGTGGCAAGGACAAAAAAGATGAAGGGGAAAGGGGGAGGGGAGGGAGAAAGTCTCCCTTGTCCCCACTCCTCCTTCCCTCTTGTTCCTAGTTCTTCTCTGCTATAAAATTTAACAGAGGGGTCCCAACAGAGAATGCGTGGGGTAGCCTGCGGAGGAGGCTAGGTTGCTCAATTACCCAGAGATGTTTTCAGATTGCTGAATTCCCTGTTGCTTACCCTGGAGAGCATAATAGTGTCTGCAAACAATAGATAATTGTTAACTAATGGAGTGAAATCTTCTAATTTTCCAGTCAAACTCCTCCAAGATGAAATGAAAAATCCAGCCAGTGTTCAGCCAGTAGATAAAACACCAAAAGCCTGGGAATATTCTGATAATGAGGACGAGGTGCCCAATAGAACATTTGAAGTTAAGAAAGAAAAAGAAGACAAACATGTGGTTAACATACAAGGTATGAACTATTTACCACTGTTTCCATTGCTTCATGCTGCTCGACACAAAATGTATTAAAAAAACTACATTAAAGATTTATTTGGTTAATGGTAGTGTTTTGTCCAATTATCCTGTTGTGCCTGTTGTCGATCAGCTTGCAGTTGCAAAAGCAATGCATTCTCATTTTTTGCAATATTGCATGCATGTAATAATAGTAAAGTGCATGTATCATCACAGGCATTGAAATATGAGACAACAGAAACATATTGCAACTATGCATACACAATAGAAAAGTGTTGTGTCAATTGCCCTGGATAAGTGCTTTACAAATTGTTATTATTATTATTATTATTATTATTATTATTAATATTGCATGTATTTTTAAGAAAACAATTACATGTTAATAATGCGTGCTACATAATAGTAAAGTGTCGTGAAAGGTGTCAATTGCTGCAATATTGTTTGCATAGTTACAGGCATTGGAATCACATTTTGCAGTCACAATATTGCAGTTTAGTTTGAGCAATGTTTTGTTTTTCAATGCCATATACAACATTGCAAGAACTAATAAGATTTTAAGCACCACAAACAGTAATATTGAGTTGACCTACAATTAACCTCATTAGAATTCTGTCTAACTTTAACGTTGTTTAGATGATGATAAAGTTGATGCTTCATTAGACTTCTGTTTAACTTTAACGTTGTTTAGATGATGTTAAAGTTGATGCTTCTCCCGAGCTGCCGCCACCACAGCTTTCGCATCCAACCAAAGAGCGACCTCTCCCTCCAAGAGAGAGCACGCCAAAAAAGGTAATAAAGAGAGAGACTATGGTGTCTGAATCTCACATGGAGACAAGAAAACGAGTGTTTGAGTCTGACAAAAAACCACTAAAGGAAACCACGGTAAAAAAGTCATCAAGTCCCACCACGACAACTAAGATGAGTGGATCAACCAAAACTGGAGCATCATGGGAGTGGAAAGCAGTTCTTGTAGTTTTAGCCCTTATCACCATCATCTTGCTAGTTTATTACTTCATGGAAGAATCCCGCGAAAAACCAGCCAGCATTACTAGCCAAACGGGCTAACATCATTTTCTTCAGTACTCACTTCAGTCTCAGTTGTAAATAGTTCGTGTCTGGGCTGGTATGACTAGCCGCAGATAAATACTTGTCTTTTATTCGGTATCCTTTTTTGTTCGTTTGATTATTTTTCTTCTTCTTTCATTTGTTTTTTTTTTTTTTKCACTCTTTTTTTAGTCATGCATATACTATTTCTTTGCATTACTTTATGTTGATTAATTAACCTGGTTTTCAACGCCGTAAACCTCTATTAAACGACCACCAACTAAGCGATTAACCTCTATTATACGGTCACCTACTAAGCGACCAACCTCTATTAAACGGTCACCTACTAAGCAACCAACCTCTATTTAGAAACAATCAATTGTTTTTTGACGCTAAGGATCATGGTCCCCAGAGGGGACGAAATAGCATCAACGTAAACAAAAATATAATAAAATTCGCTTTTGAGATGGTGAAAAGTAAGGCCCCGTCCATACGTATCCGGAAATTTCTTGATCCGCCCTGATGCACGCTTGTGCCTAGTCCCTTTGACGGATAGTTTTACTTATCGAGCATGCGCAAAATCGTATTTACGTCAGCGTATTCGAAAATTTGCGGATACGACCGTCCACACGTGTCCGTCGTATTCGGAGCGTATTCGAAAATTTCCACTCTGGAGACCGTTTTCGAAAATTTCCGGATACGGATACGCAAATTTCCGGGCACATGTGGACGCAACGCGTATCCGCAAGGAAAAATTTCCGGATACAAAAATTTCCGGGTTTGTGTGGACGGGGCCTAAGATAAATATCCCGAACCCAGAAAGATGTAGCCGGAATACAGCTCAATTTGGAGGACATAAAAACAGGTTCTCAGGAGATTGAAATTCTTTTGTTTTGTCCTCCACATTGAGCTCCTTTGACGTCACATGCAAGAGGTCTATTTTTAATATTTTGTCTACGTAAAGAAACCATGACGTAGTGATTACATAGACCTCTTGCATGTGACGTCAAAGGAGCTCAATGTGGAGGACAAAACAAAAGAATTTCAATCTCCCGAGAATTGGAACCTATTGTAATGTCCTCCAAATTGAGCTTCATTCTGACTTCCTGCAAGGGGTCTATAGGGCAATTCCTCTAGGGTAGACAGTAAATAGAAATTTGACTAGAGGCATCAGATGCCAATGAAAATTCCATTCCATTCCTTGATATTCGGGAATGGCTATCGGTAAAGTATACATGTATTATGGAATAAAAATAATATGCATTTATCCAAAAGGAGGGATACGTGTAAAGCAAACTATATTTATATCTATACTATATTATAGTTTATATAACATGTACTCTGACCACGAGGGCATGTATCAAGGAAACAAGGTGGAAAAGATATACCCAACCGTATCATTACATTAAGCCTTGTTCTCCGTAGCTGCGACGCAAGCCGTTGCAACTAGACGCAGGTCCATGTTCCACTTAGTCACTATGAAAAGAAGCGGTGCAACAGAACGGAATATTTTCTTTTCTCGCATTGGCTCGTGCTTATGCTTGCGTAGCTGTTGAGAACCAGGCTTTAAGGCGCGATTACACGGAGCAATTTTTTCTGCAACTTGTGTTGCAAGAGCGTTGCGCCACAAGTTGTATGGAGCATTGTAGCGTGTAACCTACAGCTCATTCTAAAAAAAATGTAGCGAGACAAGTTGCAGCAATCATTGCGAAAAGTAAAACTCGTTTCTCCTTTTGGCAATGATTGTACCGTGTAGACACTCTTGCAACTTTTGTCGCAACGCTGTTGCTAGACATCACTTTATCGCGATAGTAATTTCTTTGCATCCTAAACTTAAAATCTAAACAAGATGCCCGAGAACTTAATAAGAATGTAGCAAAGTGAAGTCTGTCTTATTTTTTGGCACCTTGGAAACTTATGTCCCCTAAATCAGCCTCACAATGCACTGTTTTCTTCTCAACCTGTTGTACCATCTTCCTTATCAAAGACTATACACAGGGTTCGTGCTACTCCTTAAACTCCTTGAAAACTCCTTGAATTTAATTCACGTTTTCAAGGGCACTTGAAAAGCTCTTGAATTTTATGATTTTAGCGAAACTCCTTGAAAACTCCTTGGACTTTTGCTTTGATCATTACTTGCATGGTTCTGAAATAGATCTAGTCAGAAAGATTGGAAAATCTGAAAGTCGGCCATGTGCAACCAACGTGTAAAACGTTGGCATAGTTAGCTGAACATACTCCTTGAAAATTCATTTTTAGGTCCTTGTATACTCCTTGAATAGTCCTTGAATTTTAAGTGGCTACCTGGGCACGAACCCTGTTTACACCTAAATCCAAAATGGGGGATGGCCGGGTGAAAACGAGGCATCCAGGGCCAAATTTAGAGTACTTTATAATTTGATGCCGCAAAAATGTTGTGTTTCAGAATTTAAGAAAGAAAGTCGGAATAAACGTAGAATTTGCATTGACAACAAATTATTTCTTTTGGACTTGGCCCTGGATGCATCGTTTTTATGTAACTCACTCGGCCGTGCGCCAATTCGGACTTAAATGTATTTTAACGGTAAATTTATCTCGTAGAGAAAATGTTTCAAATAACGATTTTACCTAAATTTCGTTATTGATTGATAGTTTGAATGGAAGGAGATAATTTCAAATCCTCTTATTTTGTAGAAGAAATAAATACTATTCCTATTAGTTAAATCAGTGAAGTTGTTTTCTTTCTTTTTTTTTTTCCTGCTGAAGCCGATTATAATTAACATAAAAAGTATTTTTTTCTGGAAGCTAGAAAAGGGCAATAGAATGTTAACCCTGGTTTACCGAGAATGACACTATAAGGGTCGAAAAAGCATACGTTTAAAAACGCCCTCCAGAGTGGAGGTATTGAAAACGGAGGCATTTGGTAATAGTGTGGACAGGCGAACTGAACGGAGGCTTTTGAAAACGCCTCGCGTCATTCAAAGGCCACATGTCCTTTTTTCGCATGCGCAGATGATGTTGCATCATTTCCGATCGTATCTGCGATTTTGAAGTATGGACTCGAAGGTTTCGTTGCGATTTTGGCGACACAAAAACGGAGCTGTTTTTGGAAACGCATTAGTGTGGGCGTCGCCTGAGGTGTTACGCGCAATGCAAAAAAATCTTGAGAGTCTTGGCCGTGGTTAGTAACCATGCATTTCATAGTCACTGCGTCCCTGCGTCATCTACTGAAACAATACCTAATTGCGTATTTTTTACACGACATTTTGTCTAGTGAACTAGCTGATGCTTGACAATTTTTGGATCAGTCATATGATAAAATTTGGTAATAATCAAGTCGTTGCATTTCGTTTGTCTTGTAACGTTTCAGAAGGGCTTCCTAGTTGCAAAACTACATTCACCATACAATTCCAATTCTCCCTAAGTCTTGCGCAAATTTAGGCTTAGAAAGAAGTGTGTTTTCAAGTCTGGCTAATCGAACAGTAGGAGGTTATATCGTCTATAGAGATTTCCTTTGGCTTCGAGTACTTTTTTTTGAAATAGGTATATATGTAAACCATAGTCAGTAAGTAAATCTGTGTCTCCTGATCAATTTTAGTCTCATTTTTGGCACACAATACTCTAAAATCAGTAGTCTTCAGCAGCGATTTTGGACAGGAAGACCATTGGAAGGTAATTGCTGATCCTTGAACAGTCTTCGAAGGGACGCGCGTATTCCAGAGCATCGCCACGAGTAAATGATAGGATTAACGAGTGCTGAACTGAAGAGCGCCGTCTGAGAAATTGGATAGAGTATATGATAGATTAAGACATCGTTAGCCACCAGCCCAAATGTATGGATTACAACGACGATAGAAACGGGAAAATAGCTGAGAAATAAAGCCGTGTTTATATAGATAACAGTTCTTGTTGCTTTAGTTTGTGCGAGAGCTCGTGCTATACTCTGAGGACAGCGACTCGGCTGAACTATAGCTGTTTTCTGAAGTTTGTTAACTTTCAAGTACACTATGATTGTGAAGAAAAAATTGAGAAAGATGAACGCACTGAGAACACTGGTGTAAGTAGATTCAGGGATTTTAGGTATGAACTTAACTATAGTAATGTAAGCTGTCCATAGGAGCCAAAACGCACCGTATGTGATTGCAGTGCGCACTTTAGTCGCGTGTTTGTAGAACCAATATGGTGCAAATATCGCGGCGAACCGCTCTAGAGTCATGACTTTTAACGTGAAAAACGATAGCCCGGTACACAAGAGCTCGGTGTATAGATTGATAGCAAAGATTACTGTGCAAAGGAGCCTGCCATTCATTAGGATATTGACTTCGTTCGCGATAAAACTGGTTTGCGCAACAGCACAAACTAGTAAATCAGAAACAGCAAGAAATAGAAGTGATATGTTCTTCATTGATCGTAGAACAGGCTGCCTTGTGATCGCAGTAAACATTAGGGTGTTTAGTACAACAGCGAATGGACAAGTGATGATATTCACGATACAAATAACGGCGGTGACCGCGTCATTAAAAGTTGAAGCCTCGTATTGAACCTTGGTATAAGAAAGCGGGAAATCTCGAGGACAGACACTCGGATCTTGACTTGAGTTTACATTCGAATTCATAACTCTCAACAACAATATGATCTATCTCAGATTGGAAAAGAAGGTCTAGCTTGTCAGCTTCAAGTCGTTTGATGATGCCAGCGAAAGTCAGCTTTAAGAGATAAATTTAAAAGCTCAAAACATTCGATATTTGGCGAACAGCATAACAGTACCCTCAAGATGCACTTTATTTCTCACACAAAGTAACTACGCCTTCACTTGGGCTATTTTGACGTAGAACGAATGCCCGCTTTTCCGCCCAATCAAAACCATTCAAAACTTACGTTGTATCCTCCGTTAAGTTTGTTTCATTGAAGTCCACTCAAGGCTATGTCGCACCCCGTCTTCTAGAAACTCCTTTCTTTTTCATTCTATAAAATATCTGTTTATATTCCAGAGAAAATGCATCAAAATATTGGCAAACATGTTATTAATTTGTTGCAATTATAGCCAACAACCTCACTGTGAGGTTCGCCCGGATATTGGTCCTAATGCATTGTGGAAATCTTGCAGACCAGCTCTCATTCGATGTTTTTGTAAGATGTGTATCAGTTCAATAGCCCTTTTTACTGTTATCTCGTAAACTGAATTCTATTGTTTTCAGTTTCTATCGTTTATAGATTGCACAGTGTTTGCTCCCTCGCCACCCCATAATTCAAGATGGCCGCCGTATTAGTAAAAAAAAGTCTATTCCAGCGTTATATAAGTTAAAAAATAAAAAAATAAACATAGAGCTTTACCCTATCGAGAAGTGAGAAACAAAATAGTTGAAATTCGTTATTTTTGCACGTATTTTTATAGGGTTCTCGTTGTATGAAGCATAGACACTCTCATCGATTCGTAAGCCTAAGCGTAGTCCAATTTTCGGATAATACACACCAAATCTTATGAAAACCACGGTTTCTAGATCTTTATGGAATTCTTAGAATTCTTATGGAATTCGCCGCCGTTTCAATCTACTCCAAAGTGAACTCAACGAACTCAATGAACTCAATGAACTTCAAGTAAAAAACTAGTCTCCACTGATTCAGCTCTCAAAATGAAGTAATTGAAATATAAAGAGCAAACTCGAAGAAAAATAACACGAGCTCCGTTTGAACCCTGTGGCCTATACTAGTCTCCATTTGCGTGGAGCATGAGAGGAAATCAATCGTAACCTTTTCACAATAAGTTAATCTTTATAATTTTTGTTGAATTGTGCTCCGAAACAATGACGTGATCGACTGGCAAAATCAAGTAGATTATTCTTTTTTCTCTCTCTGTCTCTGATCCGTTCTTCGAAGTGCAAAGTAATTGCTTCGTTAGTTCCTTAGCCCTGGGGCTCATGTTTAGTTTTAAAAGCTCTTGATGCCAGATGGTATCGAAATTGTATGGCGGCCATCTTGAATCACAAGGCATTGTGAGTCATCTAAAGAGCAAATAGCCAAAACTTTGTTACGTTTACGGTTCATAACAAGGCAATTTGACGAGAAATAAGTTAAAAACAAATTCCCAGTTCCACAGTTGAGGAAATTTCTCAATTATCGTGAGGTCGTCATTTCAGCATCTATTTTTTGTTTTGCCCCCTGGGCGAACCATATAATGCCTTGTGATTCAAAATGGCCGCCTCATCGTCGAAGTAGTCCATTAAGACGTAGGCTTAGATTTCAGCCGTTGGGGTTTCGTGCGCCCGCGATATTCTCCCCCGTAATGGCTGGGCACATGAGATTGACATTGTGCTTCGTTCTCAGCCAATCAGCGATCTGTCCCTCGAAAATCAAGGGGCATAAATTAATAAATTAAAATTCATTCTGAACAAAATGGCGGACGTATCACTCTTTGAAGTGCTTGTGCCAATGCTTTGAAGTCGTTTAATTTCAGTGAATTCAAGGATGTTCAGCAATGGTGTTTGTAAATCTACCCACTGGCTCTGGGAAATCCGGGCACTGATTTTTCAAACAGCTCCACTTGTTTTCGATCACTTGGAAAGGTCGAGTGGATCGATTAATCTTGTAATCTCACCTGTGGTTTCTCTTATGAAAGACCAAGTGAATTTCTTTACTTCCAAAGGAGTAAAGGCCACCTTTATCGAAAAAGAGCAAGATGACGAAGCGGTGAAAGCTGGCGTCGAAGAAGGGAAGTACCAAGAACTTGCAAAAGCACCTTGACAATCAGGTGTCGGGAACTTCATTTACATTACAGCAAATTTCACTTCCGTTTCCGTTTTATATGCTAATTACATGTACTGTAGTTTAAAATTTCTCTATAAAACCCCCTTCCCTCTAAAAATTGTGCTAATAGTAATGGGCTCCTTATCTGTATGGATATAACTATAATACCCTATTCACACCTAAACGTGTTTAGTTAAACTATGTTTTCATTAGGAAAAAAATTGAGAAACTAGAAACCTACAATATAATGAAGCTTTCTAAAATATTGTCAGAGCAAGCCAAAAGGATAGCTTACATGCCTTATTTCACCAAATATTGTGCAGTGTTCGTAGATAGTTTTCCAAACCTGTTTAGTTAAACCACTTTAAAACATGTTTAAGTCTTGGTGTGAATGGGGTATAAGAGAAAGAAGAAAAGGAAGACATTAATGGAATTAGGTCACATAAAACAAGAAAGCTCTAGTGGATTCGGGACATTACCCAAGGTTGCTATGGCTGCACAAGAGGTGAATAGGAATCCTGCTTTCAATTACTCATTGAGTGATTTTTTTAAATTTTAATTAGTTCGTTAACCTCTTCATCCTTTAGGATGCCATAAATTCATCAAATTGCTTGCGAAAAGGTCTTTTTTTTTTTTTTTACAAAAATTTCAAAAGTAATGAACGAGTTAACCGTAAAAGTGTTCATAAACTATGGGATATCCATTTCAGAAAAAAAAGCCTAATTTTTTTTCCAAATTCAATTTTTTTTTTTTGTTGTTGTTGTCACGCTGCTTTTTTTATTT